GGAGGGACAGAGCAGGAGAGGAAGGCCCTCTATGAGGGGGATTGATTCAGTGACTGGGATAATTGGGATGGGAGTGTCAGAGACGGTTCGATTGACACAGGACAGAGCAGAGTTTAGGGCTGTTGTACATAGGGTCGCTATGAGTCGCAGGCGACTCGACGGCACATAACAAGAACAACAACAACATGAATGTATATTTGAGAAACAGTCACGTTGATCGATCTTCCTTGTGTATGTATGCATATTATCCTTTCATACATATGTTTCAGGATAGAACTTGAAATGATTTTTTTACTATGACTGCAACGCTGTTCTTTTTTTCTGTTTTTCATTCTCTGCATACTATTAACATATGATTATCTAATTCAGAGCAGCCAAAGCTCATCTCACTAATGCCTAATATGTTGATGTTTATCCATTCCATTTAATTTTTATCAGTTTCCAGTTTTCCAACATTCAAGCTATGTATATTCCATGTTCCAAGTGTTAAACTGTGTGTTATTGTTTTTCCTCATTTCAACTTACTTCCAATCTGGACTCTACCACTACACTACTGTAACTATCCTCATTCCTTTAGTGTTCATAGGGTTTTCAATGTCCTGTTATTTAGGAAGCAGAAAGCCCATTCTGTTTCCTTGTTGTTGTTTTTAGGTGCTGTCAAGTCATAGATGACTCATAGTAACCCTATGAATGAAAGACCTGAACACTTGTATAACTTTCATCCTTTCTCCAGGTTCATAGGTTTTCCAGAGGCAAGCTATTTTGGAAGTGGGTACCACTCCTGCTTACAAGCTTTTTTTAATTGAGAAGCTTCACCAAACACTGTCCACCGTGGTTAACCATTATCACATTTGACATATCAGGGTCACAGTGTTCAGCACCACAGCAAACACAAGTTACTTCTGTACAGAAAATGGACAGACCAGTGCTATACCACTTAGAAGAATGTTTGACCAAAAAGAATTAAAACCAGGTCTGAGGGCCACAGACTAAAATCACCCACTTTGACTTGGTAGCATCACTTTCTGTCCACTAGGACAAGCAAGCTCTCTCTGCTGTTAAGTGCCGTCGAGTCATAGACCCTTGGTACCAACAATCAGGAAATATGGAGGCACATTACACTGTGAAAAATCTGCCATTAGGGACATCTCCAAATTACTGAGGAGTAGTGATGCCAGTTTGAGGACTAGTCTTTCCAATTTCTCTCTTTGTATCTGGGAGCTGGACAATGAATATGGATGACAGAAAAAGAACTGAGGCCTTTGAGCTGTGGTGTTAGACAAGGGCCTGAACATCTTGTGAATGGCCAAGAAAACTCTTAGAGAGAGTGCAGCCTGAGTGCTCTTTGGAGGTAAGAATTGAGGCCTCACTTCACATATATTGAGCATGTTTCTAGGAGGGGCCATTCCTTGGAGAAGGACATGTTACTGTGAAGGGTGAAGGGCCAGTGAAGGAGATAAAGACCCTCAAAGAAGTGGATTGACAGAGTGACTTTTGCAATGGGCTCTTATGTGTCACGAAGTGTGAGAATGGCATAGACCAAAGAAGGTTCAGATATTTTGATCGTGAGTTGTTGTGAGTCATACTTAACTTGATGGAACCTAACAACAACAGCAAGGATAGTATAATGATTTAATATATTAATCACTCTTGTGTTGTTGTTTTAAGTGCCATTGAGTCCCCGGCGACTCATACCACCTTATGAAGGAGAATCCTCAACGCCTGTTATTAATCACTATACTAATAATATAATAATTGCTAGATGAAATGTATCTGAGTACAGTATAATTTAAGTAATCTTATATTAGCATTTACTTATTTTGGTTTTTTTCCCCCCTTTTAAGCTTCTTTAGGTGCTCCTTTTTATTGTTTCGCAGAAATTAATACCAGATTGGATAGATACGGAAACTGTGGTTATTCCATGTGTGACATTCCGTATGTATTTAGAAAACTAATTTTGTTTCAAATGTACATTATTTATTGCTAAGATCCTAGCATATGTTATACACACAGTAAAGTGACATTTTCTATCAGCCTTTCTGTGTTTATGTCACGTGAATAATAAATAACATTTGCTCAGTGCTTCGTGTTGAGATTTCAATAACCATTCATCAAAGCTGAACTCCATTTATTGCTGTGATGAGCTAGAAACTGTGTTAGGCAATTTATATATAATATGCAGAAAACATGTAATAATTTATGCCATTTAACAGATGAAAAAAATTAAAGGTCACAGAGGTAGCTTTCCTGTTTTGCAAAACTTTTAAAAAAAAATAGTGTAGGATAGATCTGTAAAGGAATATAAGGTTGTCATAATGCAAATGCCATTAAATTCTCACTTGTCACATTGCCTAACAAAACAAAACATGTCAAATCTTAAGTCCTATGCACAAAGTTGTCTCTGTTTATGCATGGGATGCTGAATAAAGAATACTGTTAGATCTTGAGCTAAATTTGTAACACTTTCTTTGTCTCAGTTAACTATTCCAGCAATCTATGTATTTCAGTTACTAAATTTGTTTTCTCTGTCTTATGCCTTTAGTAATGTTTTATGTGGAAAATTAGTTTGTTCATGGCCACACAGACGATTAATAAACATTGCAAATTTATCTGTGACTTATACACATTTTCGAGATGCAGTTTGTGTATCTGCACATAATATCCATGAAAGACCTCCTGATGTAAAGAACACTTCGGAAACAACATTCTATACAGCAGAAGACAGAGATGAGACGTTTGTAGAAGATGGCACACCGTGTGGTCCTGACATGGTAATTAGAAACGACAAAAATGCAAATGTTTAAAACTATTTTTATAGTGTTATTTATTTTGACACTATCTCAACTTACGTGTTTTCAAACAACATTGTGAGGGTATTGTTTGTCATGAAGTACACAATTTATTTATTTTTGTTATAATAGAGTTGTGCAACTATTATCAGGTTTAGAACCTTTCTATCACTGCAAGATGCCCCCTTAAAATGTTTTGTTTTCATACAGTCATTATATGCACTATGTTTCACTCTTGTACGTTGTGTCATTGTGTTTTATACAACTTTCATATACATGGTGTTTTACTTAATTGATTACTATTTACCAATGCCTTTTATCACCCATCTCATCAAATTCCCATTACATCTTGCCTCCTTCTTCACCCTTCCACCATCTGTTCACTAATCTCTGCTGCCCTAGTGGTTTTGTTCTTCCTCACCCTGCTCCAACCCTCCTTCTCCCCCTCCCTCCTCTTTTAAATAGTATCCTGTTCTAACTTGCTATTTCTAATAGCCATATTGTCCTCTCATTAGTTCTTCCTTGGTTGATCCTCCCTTCTTCTGATTCTTTAATTTTATTTGTGCATTTCATTACTGCTCTTCCCATCCCCAAACCCCACCACTCCCCCAGTTGTCCTCTTGATACAGTATTTGTCTTTTTGTGACCACATAGGATGATGTCTTCTAACCCCATGATGCATAAAGTATTTTATAGATTCTTCATTGTTCTTGAGTGATGCATAGTACTCCATTGTGTGAATGTACTACCATTTCTCTGTACAATAATTTGTGATGAACATTTGGGCCATTTTCTTTTTCTTGCTGTTGTGACTAATGCTGTGGTTAATATATCAGTTAGTGCCTATCTCTGTTTATGTCTCGACTGCGATTTCTGTAGGGGATATATTTAGTACCTGGGCCATATGGGATTTCTATATTATTCTTTTTGAGGAAATTACAATCTGACTACCATAGTGGTTGTACCATTTTACAATCCATGCATTCTTGCCAACATTTACTGTATATTGCCCTTTAAATTTTGCTATTGCTGCAGTGGAGCTCTGGTGGTTTGTTGTTGTTGTTGATTGCTTTTGAGTTGAGCCTAACTAATAGCAACCTTATGAACAAAAGGCTTGAAGCTACAACTATTGATGTTTATTAAAGTTCATGGAGTTTCCAGAAACATGTTATTTAGTAAGTGGATGTCACTCGTGCTTCCAAACCTGTCATAGTATGTTATTGTTTTTATATGTTATTAACTTGAGATGTACAGCAGGTGTGAATCCTTTCCTGTCCTGAGCCGGTCTTATTAATTCTGACACACTCACCCTTATTGCCCCAGTTACTCTATCAGTCCATCTTATTCTGGGTCTCCCTCTCCTGCACTGTCCATCCACTCTTTTGAGCATGATGTCCTTCTCCAAGAACCGATCTGATGGCTTAGTGATTAGGAATTGCACTGCCAACTCAAAGGTACACAGTTCAAATCTACCAGCTGCTCCAGGGGAGAAAGATGAGCATTCTCCTCCTGTGCAATTTATTGCTTCTGAAAACCTGCCGGAGAGTCAACTATGGGTCAGTTCTAATTCAAAGGTATACATCAACAAGCTGCTGGCATAAGATGATATTTCATTGTTTTGATTAGCATCTTTCTAAATGCTAGTGATTTTGAAAATTTCCTCATGTGTTGGCTAGCCAAGTATCCTCCTTGGTGAAGAGTCTTTTTATATCTTTAGTCCATTTTGTAATTATTATCAGTCTGTTTCTTGTGGAGGCATTGTTATTGTTAGTTGCTTTTAAGTTGAGTGACTCATAGTGACTCTATGAACAACAGATACAAACCCTGTCCTATTCTGCACCTTCCTCACAATCTTTAACACTCTGGAGCCTATTGCTGCAGTCTCTGTGTCAATCCACCTGGATGAATTTCTTCTCTTTCACTGTCCCTCCACCTTTCCAAGCATGATGTCTCTCTCCAAGGAATAGCCTCTTCCAGTAATGCTACCATCTCCTTTTCAGAAATAAGCTGATGATCATAATGAACAGAAGGCACAGGGGTAGAAACAAAATGCTTGCTCCAGAATAAAGGAGGATGCCCAAAATCATCTCTCAGAAGCCTGTTCACAGACCACATTCCCCAAAACAGCTTGCTTATTGTCTTTACTAAACAGGAATTTTCCCCTGGATCAATAGAAATCATTATCCTGAGTAAATGGTTAGACATTTCAGGTGAAGATTAAAGTGGTGAAACCCCAGGGCTTTATCTGTTATTTAAGAGGTTTAAGTAACCTAAAGTAATTTTATTTTTTACGTCCAGTTCAATTTAATCAGTATTGTGCCTCTAGGTAGGATGATACTTTCCTTTAGAATAAGATGTTATGACCATAGAGCATAGGATCACAGAGACAAGAAACCAGAATTTTGTGTGTGGAATACTAGAGGTAACAGTGTTGTTGTTGTTGTTAGGAGTCATCAAGTCAACACAAATCATAGTGACCCTGTAAACAACAGATTTGCACTTTTCCCTCTCCTGTCCCATCTGCATGATCTCTGATATGTTTTAGTCCATTGTTATAGTCATTGTGTCAATCCGTTCTGGTGATACCTTCCTCTCTTTTTCTGATCTTCCACTTTTCCTACCATCATGTCTTTTTTCTCTTGATGACATAGTGAAGGAAAGATGGGAAGTCTCCTCCATGAAAGGTTTCTGAAAACCATCTATCTAGATAGAGGGTCAGCTAGGAGTAGATTCTAACTTAATGGCACATAACAACAACAAAACCAGGAGGGGTACTTTAGGCAGAAGAATTGCCTGCAGGGAAGGCATATCCATATCTAGAGTAAGTGTGTATTCCATTAAGAACGAAATACTACTTTTTCTGTGATCCAGTGTAACCAACTTGCTACCAGGGGTAGATCAATATTGGGCATTTGTGGGTCTCTTGGGTATTTAGCAGTCATTGTAGTTACCAGTCTTGATAAGTGCAAGTCCAGAATGCATAACTTTCATCGCAGTCATGTTGGCCACTGCTTATGAATACAATAGACAGTGATAGGAGTATCAGGGCTAGGGAAGGATAGTAAATTTCCACAAATCGTGTCATCCTATCCTCTGAAGACTGTTCTGTTGAACTGTATTCAGGGAGGTCTCAGAATGAGAACACATTGCTGTTGCTGCCCCCTTTCTCACTAGTAGCTGTGTATTGTGCAGAATCATCTGTAATCCAGATACTATCTATACTAATCTGTAAGCCAGGTTCTCTTCCTCAGTGAACTGATCCCCGCAGGATTTTAGATGGAATTAAATATAATTTTTTGAGGTAACATGAATTATTATATAGCTGATGAGGCACACATGCCCCAAAGGATCTCTGACATTGATGTTGGTGGAATGAGTACCATTTCTTCAGATTAACAGTTGTACAGGCACCCAATAGATGGCTGTTGTTGTTGTTGTTATGTGCTGTTGAGTCACCTGCAATTCATAGTGACCCTATGTACAACAGCTCTGAAGCCTGCCCTGTTCTGAGCCAGTCTCACTGACTCCGACATGCCTACTTCCATGTCCCTATTTACTGTATCAATTCACCTGTTCTGGGTTCTTCCACAATGAAAACAGGATAGAAATATCCCTCAAAAAAAGCCCAAAGGTAGAAAATATAGATGGGCACTGTATGTCCCACTGAACATACAAAAGTCAATTATGTCTGTTCATTCAGGTTAAAAGAACTTGGGATGACTCCCAGTCCTGCGTGATTCAAGAATTTTCCTGTTTCAGATCTCTGACAATTTTTGTTTTTCTGGATGTCCTTGCTATGCCTCTTTGAGATTTTCTACAATTAGAGTGGGTTGTGGATTTGGTCAGTTGGTGTTTTTACATGCAGCCACACATTTAACCATTTTGTCCTAGATTGCTTCTTACCATCTAGTAACAGAAATCTTTTTAGAAAAAGAATTATCTAGAAAATTAATTTGATCAGTCCTTTAGATGATGTTTGTTGTTGTTCTGTACCAGGAAACATTTGAAAAATGTTCTCTCACTTAAAATTATTACATCATAATATCTGAAGATAAAGCCAAGTGTATATCATTAGTTAATTTAAAATTCTGGGATAAGAATTAATTTCAAGAAACTAAATAAGCTGAGGAAAACTTATTTGTACTACTTGCTTTAATGTTCTATGTTTTCTGAGGAAGGGCTTTGCCTTTCTTCATTTATTCACAATTTTGTAACGATGGCTTTTAAGCAATGCTTTCAGTCTGGATTTTCCACTATAAACAACTAGAAAATTGGTCAGAGTATGTCCACCCTACTGTTGTTAGGCAGATTATGACTCATCACAACCTTAGAGAATATGAGACACACATGAATGTGAACGAGAATGCCCATGGCATTCTTGAGGCTAACAGAGGGCACACAATACCTCACCTTCAATCTCACACTTGCCCATTATGCCATCAGGGTAACTTAATCGGAGTCTAGTAAACAAATCTTTTTTAGAATATCGACATCAAGTAGCACAAAACCGTGCTATATGAGAAAAGAAATCAAATGAATAAAGACTTCTCAGGTAAATTCTAAACTAAATTATAGAGCGAAGCAACCAATGTCTGGTGATCTAATTAAAGAAAAGAGAGATTGGCACATATGAAGGTTGAGACACTGAGGAAGTTAAGTGTTTGTTGGAAAGACAATTCTAGAAGAGCACTCTATGCAAAGGATCCGTAGCTCCACATAGAAATTGCCTTGAATCTTTAAGTAAATACTAATGTGCTTTCGTAGAGAGAAAATCTCTAAGAGACATTGCAAGGACATCCAAAAAAACCCCCAAAATTGTCAGAGATCTGGAACACAAACAATTCTTGAATCACACAGGGCTGAGAGTCATCCAAAGTTGTATTAGCCAGAATATGCAGACCTAATTGACTCTTACATGTCCTGTGGGACATGCAGTAGACATATGTCCTGTGGCAAATACATTTTCTACCTCTGGGCTTTTA